TATAACGGTTACGGTTTACACTCTACTATACGTACTCCTTAGGTTAACGGTATTTCCCGTCCTTAATTAGTTAGGGTTTCCTACGATAACAGTACTCCTTGTAAGGTAGTTCCCTCCTACAGTAAGGTTTCATTCACACAGTACTCCTTGTAAGGTAGTTCCCTCCTACAGTAAGGTTTCATCCATACAGTACTCCTTGTAAGGTAGTTCCCTCCTACAGTAAGGTTTCATCCATACAGTACTCCTTGTAAGGTAGTTCCCTCCTATAGTAGGGTTTCATCCATACAGTACTCCTTGTAAGGTAGTTCCCTCCTACAGTAAGGTTTCATTCACACAGTACTCCTTGTAAGGTAGTTCCCTCCTATAGTAAGGTTTCATTCACACAGTACTCCTTGTAAGGTAGTTCCCTCCTACAGTAAGGTTTCATCCATACAGTACTCCTTGTAAGATAGTTCCCTCCTATAGTAAGGTTTCATCCATACAGTACTCCTTGTAAGGTAGTTCCCTCCTACAGTAAGGTTTCATTCACACAGTACTCCTTGTAAGGTAGTTCTCTCCTATAGTACGGTTTCAACCATACAGTGTTCCTTGTAAGGTAGTTCCCTCCTATAGTATGGTTTCAACCATACAGTACTCCTTGTAAGGTAGTTCCCTCCTAAAGGTAATTAGTCAACATCACCCACCGCCAAATTGTGGGCTACTCACAAATGGTGGAATTGACTGTCACGTTATAACGCCTTCATGACTGAATGGGCAAGCATGTTTGGTGACGGGGATTCGAACTCTCGACCGGTAGGTTATGAGTTAAGCACCTAAATACGAGGATATTCTAGGCCTCAGGCACAATGTGTTATAACACGAAATTACATCATTAGCCAGTAACTTTAGCGACATAAATCCTCAAATTTTAAAATAGTTGACAAATGTTTCTGCTATTATTTAGATATCAGTTGCAAATCAAAAGGTTCAAAGTGACAATTAATCAAACATGTAAATACATACAATTCAAAATGAATGAAGCACAAATCTAAAACTCAAAAGGTATTATTATTTTCATGGTTTTCGCAATTACTTTTAATTTCAGGAATTGTTTTAACTCTCAACAGGTAACTGCTCCTCAAGGTGTTCAATGAGTACATTTTATTTATTTAAAGAGTTTGTCAGATATTTTCCATACCAGCATTTTGGAGAACTATCTAAATATGATGAATTTCAAATGATCCTAAAGTACAGATACTGACTGAGATACAACGTTTAAGAACTACGAACGGTATCAATGCCTTCAAGGTAGCTCGTGATACATAGGCCTGGCGATGTCAATATATTTGTGTGTTTGATTGTTTCAGAATTTTCTAGCATATTTAAGCAAGGGCTTCTGCGCATGGCTGTCCCCAGTTTGTTGACTACCCACTGCCAACTCTTGAGTTACTGTTTTACCAACGAATGATGGGATCGATCATCACGTTATAATGTCCCCATGACTGAAAGGGAAGAAATATTTGGTGACACGGATTCGAACCCGCAACCCTCAGATTGTGAGTCGAGCGCCCTAACCACCAGGCCATGTCAAGCCCGCATAATATGGACCCAGCAGTATCCAAAAATAAAAATGAGATAACCAACTAATATTAATTTTATGCCTCTGTTTTTATGTAGTTGACTGCTACATCCTAGAAAAATACTTGTGAGGAGTGTTGTGCCAATAATATTACACCTACAGTATACCATGGCATATACCCTACTTTAACTATAAATATGGACATGTATAAACACACATACAATATATATATATATAATCTATAAAAATCATCAAATTATGCGGTACTTTGTGCTACCTACAAATGTTATAAAGATTATCAGCTTTTTGAGAATAAATTAAACAAGAAAAACAACATAAATTTACAAAATAAAGTTAATTACCCGACTAGTTTTGACGTACCACGTGTGTCATTTTCAAGGATATACTGTGTGAGAACAGCGACAACCAACGAGTATTATTTTCTCAGGCCGATTTCTTCACGCTTGTTCCGCTGAAGAATGTTTTCCATAATGGATTCAGTTAAAAGCCCATATCATTGTTTAAGAGTCTGTCTGCATTTCACTAACATCTCTAATATTTCTATGGTGAAAATATTTTGTTTCTGTGATCTTTTTGATATACATGAGCGACAACATTGATAAAAATGGTGGTGTAAGAGAAGTGGAATATTGTCCAATAATTTATAACCATTTATAGATTTATGGGAAATGGTGGTGGAAAAAAAAGTATAGTGTTGTCCAAGTGTTTGTAGTCATTGAGGTATTTATAGGAAATGGTGGCAGAAAATAAGTACTGTACTGTCCAAGATTTTGTTGGCACTGACGTATTTACAGGAAATGGTAATCCATGGTTGTCCATGTGTTTGTAGTCAATGAGATAGTTATAGGAAAAGGCAGTGAAAGAGAAGTGTAATGTTGTCGAAGACCCCCCCCCCCAAGAAATTTGGCAGCAAAATCGTTTTTTTTTGTTTTTTTTCAGATGTAGAAATAAGTAGACCCCATTTGTGACAATTATTAAGGGGTTTTATGTAGTGTTGTTGGTTCACAGTATTTTTAATAAAATTTAGAATAATTCTGTTTATCTCTAAGCAATGACAAAGCCTAATAAAGTCATAAATGAGTAACCACATTCATGAAATTTTGGGAAAAAATATCTCATAACTGTTACTTTTATACATTAAATGTATGTTTTATATACTACTGTTACCTATATTCAAAGACTTTTCAAGGACTCTAAAATTATGAGCTTCAAGTAACAGTATGTTCCACTTAGGAGCATTAAGAGCTAGCACGGGACCAGGGCAAACATCTTCGCAAGACCACATTTCTTTCTCTTTTTTTTTTTAACACTTTTAAAAACTTATTAAAAAGATTCTAAATTAGATCTGCAACGAGCTCGCAAAATCATAGCAGCAGCCATTTTTAGTTCACAGTATAAGCATAAAAACGTTAATAAAGTAACAACAAATATATATTATCACTCAAATTATTATATCAGTCATTTTTAATGTATCAAGAGTCTATATACAAAACAAGCCAAAAACTATGCTTTTTATGATTAAATGAAGATACACCTGAAAGGTGCTTTGCAGGCTGTACGGCATAACCAGGTTTCATTTGCCCAGCCACCCCCACCTCCCGTGTAGGTGGGCCTAATTCCATTTCCAAAAATCAATTGTGACCTTCTTATGACTGTGAATTTTAAACAATGATTTGGTGACATTTCCTAGGTTTGAATTGTGTTACAAACAAATGTGAAATATAACAAAATCGAAATCTTGACAAAAAAAAATGTTTTAAAAAACATTAGTTAAATTTATTGAAACTTAATCACACTGCAGCAAACTATGTAGCTGGCCAAAATATTCCATGAAAATCTCCTGTAACTGCTGAATCTAGAAGAAACTCTGCTCGTCCAAGTTCCTGGAAGGTATTTGCGTCAAGAACCAGAAGAAATACTTTGTTTTGATTATCTTCGCTTAACACAGCAGAGAGTATAACTCCTATAGAAAGACAAACTTTAATGAAATACTTCTGAATAAAAATTATAAAACTGCATACTAAAATAAAATTAAAAGTTAAAAATTTATTTGTTCAATTACTTTAGTCTATAGCATGAAATTGTTATTAGACACTAATTCCAACACTTACAGTTCAAATAAACTGTTTGTTTGTTGTTAAGCACAAAACTACACAATGGACTATCTTTGCTGTGCTCACCACAGATATTGAAACCTGGTTGTTAGTGTTATGAGCCGACAGACTTACACTCAGCCACTGGGAGCCCCAAAAAGTGGAAGGCCATCTCATCTTTTATGAAATCAGCTTAATATCACAATTTATACAAGGTAGAATACTACCTGTACATTGGCCAGTCATTACAACAAATAATAATTAAAGAATGTAAAAAAAAACATCTTAAAATATACGTCAATCAATCAACTTCATAGTAAATTGAACAAAAGATGGAAGAAAGTTTCTTTATCAACTGGCTTTTAATTAGGCAGTAAGCCTTCCAAAAGACAAATGTTAGGATGGAAAGCATCTCTACCTATTAGCAGAACAATAAATTGAACTCCTGGCAAAAGATAGCCAGTCAGCTTAATAACAAGATTAAATCAGTTTTCATTTACACAAACACTATAATGAAGAGAATATCACACTTCTGTAAGTCAGCATTTCATTAACATTGATACTTGGTAGAAGATGTCACCTATCCTCTTAGTCAGTCTTTTAACAACATAAATACTAAGGAAAATCTCACTTGAAGTGTCACTCAGTCTTTAAATAACACATACTTCAAAGGATATCACGCACTCTGTAAGTAAACTTTCCACTAGTATGTATACTAAGAGGGAAAATATCGGTCTCATAATTAAGTGGTCTTCCTCCAGTATGCATACCAGAAGAAAAATATTGTCCTTGTGGTTGGGCAGTCTTCCACTATATACTTGAACAAAAATATCATTCACAACAGTCAATCAGTACCATGGAAGAGTATACATGGAGGAAAGTATCAATCAGTCAGTTAGTCTCCCACTGCCACAGATACCAAGAAGAAAGTGTCTCTTACTTTCTCAGACAATCCTTTTAGTCAAGATAAATATTAGTTGAAATATATTAATCCAACAGTTTCTCAGCCCATTAAAAAAGAAGTATAGTTACCAGATCAAATAAACTAGAAAAGGTACTCATGCCAAGTATGATATATATTTTGTTGGCTTCACTTAAATGGGGAGGGAGGGGGGACTTTGTATGTGTGTGTGTATTGTTCAGTAGCACTGAAGCACAAGCTGGTGAGAAAACTGAAATGGCCATAAAACTTATAAACTTGAAGGAATCAATTGAGTAAGAAGTTTTAATATCCCTCTGAGTCATACCCAAGAACAACACCTGAAAGTTTCATGGTGATCAGAGGTTGGGTAGTTTGAAAATGTTTGTCACAGACAAACAAACAGATATAATGTCACAAGTATCTTTATATTGTAAGTAGATGCAGTGATAAAGCAGAAAAAATAATATACCACATGGGTAAAATTTGTGTTTATATACTAATGTAGTTATCTTTGACGTTGATGATTTTTATCTTTGAAGCAAAATCCATGGAGTTGTTTAAAGTGTACTAGTGTGAGTCTTTTGTTTAAGTATTTGGCTATTGAGTAAGTTGGGCTATTATTGCATGCAAGGATGGGTCTAAAAGGTATCCCTTCTTTATGAAATTTGGGTAAACAATAAAATCTTGGGGAGGTAATATTGGAAGGTATGATCTTATTTATTTCTTCTTTAGAGAAATAATTGCTTTTTTCTTTATTTTAGGTTTTATTTCTTGTATGGTTCTTTTTGTAAAGTCACTTTTTAGCTTTCTATACATACCATCAGACAGTAACTTACTTGATTCTTCATTAATTTTTTTGTCAAGAATAAAAAATTTTTTCACCTTCGTCTGCTTCTGTTACAATACTTTCATTTTCTTGTGTAGATTTAAAGCTTTCATGTTCAAGTTTTTTTAAGTTATTTTTTGTTGTACAACAATTGTTCAACATTTTATACATTTCTAATCTAATACTGGATTGAGCGATGTCATCTAAGTTACAAATGCCTGCTTCTATTTCTGAAACAACATACATTTTAATTCAAAACTAGAATAAAAAAAACAGACAATACCTTAGAGTTGTATTCAGATCTTGGACACAGTTTTTGAATACTAATAAGTAACCAAGTATTTACTCGTTTTTAATTCTGAGTCATAAAGAGGCATCAATTAAAACAGTTGTGACTTGTTGGTGATAAATTTCAACAATAAACAAACAACACACAGTCTACTTGTTTTAAAGTAATATATTAAAACAAGTCAAATATATACAGAAATGTTCGTTACGCTGTTGGTTATCACAGTTGTATCCAGAGCTTTAAATAATTGTCTATTTTCCATCAAAGTCCACACAGGCTAGTTCAGTTACTTTAGAACAAAATTTGACAAGATGAATTATTTCTTCTCTACTCTGTTATTACAATACAGTCTTTGATAATTTCACTTTAAAAACTGCCACTATAAGCTCTCAATGGCTAAACTCATAATCACTCAGTCTAGTTCTATCTAGCTATCTAACTATGTCTTACTTGAACCACATTTTGAATGCGTATTTATAGCCTGAACAAGGCTTAGAATATGCCACACACTACGATATATTATGATGCAATAATACTAAATTAAAACAACTAAAAACTTAGAAGCTTCTAATAACATCATGCAATAATATAACAACCACCAATTCACAATAATTGAATTACACAATGTAGGGGTTGTACATAGTTAAGTAAACAAACCTGTGATAAACTATTGCTTCTAAAAATAACTAAATTTAACTCTTGTGCTATACTTAAACCATCTAAATCGCAACACTCGCATTAAACTTAAACAGTCATGTATATCTAATTTGGTGAAACAATAATGAAAGTGATTGTTTGTTTGTAGTTAAGCACAAAGCTACACAATGGGCTATCTGTGCTCTGCCCACCATGGATATCAAAACCTAGTTTCTATCATTGTAAGTCAGCACGTACTGGTGAAATAAGAAAGATAGTGATCATATTATAAGTTTGTAATAATGAATCAAGATTGATAATAACTATGTAAAAAATATGTAATGGTATAATAAAAAAGATAATGACCACATTTTAGATGTGCACTGATAAAACAAGCATGCCAAATGTAGTGTGGTTGACATGTTTTAAAATATTCTCTCACGGGTTCTTAGAATTACAAATGTGGTTTTCTCCTGTTGATGCTGTTGTTATATGAACCACTGGGGAATAGGAAAACTAACATGCTGATTCACAAGTTGTCATAAATGATAGTAAAATTAAATTCAAATCAAACAAATATTATGCTGTTATTAATTATTTCTTAAAAATCTGATACGTAAATGATTTAAATAAAATTGATAATAATTACAATTCAGATTTAGTGTAGTCAACTTTAACATATTCACCTTTGCATTCACTTGTGAATTCTTAAAATTACTAAGGTGGTTTTTCTTCCATTGATGCTGTTCTTAGAATTATTTAAAATTAGAATCTTTTCTTATCTGAAATTCATGTATTGTTGAGGAAAAGAAATTCACATATATAAAGGTACCCATCTATTATATATATAGCTAGACAGATAGATGAATTGAAAACAAAACAAGGAAGATAAAAGAATCACATAAACGTACATACTAATAAAACAAAAAACACAGTAACCACAATACTGACAGGAACAGGTGAAACAAGACACATAAAAAGTACCTCTGATTGGTTACACATTTTTGTAACTTATAATATAAAAGTTTATGCTTGGTTTGTACAAATGTAACAAAACTAACAATATTTTCACATTTCACATAAAAAATAATTTTTACCATCATCTTCTTCTGTTGCTCCAGGTCTGCCAACAAAAACTGGTTCTGAAGGAATGGTCTTTTCTTCTAGCCATATAGTCTTAGTTCTATTCTGGACATTCACTTTAATCTTAAAAATAAAAGAAAAAAGAAGTTTATGTTTATGAAAAAACAGCATGATCTTGATATCTGTATAATATTTTGCAGATTAAGTGCTAATGATGGTTTTGAAATCCCACACCTGTACAAGATTATAATAATTTGTTAAATTCTCTGATTTAATTTGTAAAGCTTATGATGGTTTGTTAAAATCCATAATTTCACAAGAATTGTCCAATTTGTACAATTTCATAATTCTACAAGCTTATGATGATTTGTTAAATCCCATGATTTAACTTACAGAGCTTATGACTGTTTGTGAAACCACATAATTTCACAAGGTTATGTTAGTTTTTAAATATATCTTCACAAGCTTACAGCGATTTGTTAAATCCCATTATTTAACTTACAAAGCTTTCAACGATTTTTTTGCAATTTAATAATTATACAAACTTATGATGATTGTAAAACCACATCATTATATAAGTTAAATCATGACCTGTGGAATTTGTTGATTATAAAAGTTTATGATGATTTGTGAAACCACATTAAAATATACATTTATGATAGTAGAGGTAGTCCCTTTAATATGGAAAACGTTGCTTGAGTAACAAACATATTATTAAAAAATGCAATAAAAAAACAACTACCTGCTAAATGTAGAAATATGAACTGGTGAAGTGAAAAAGATAGTAACCATATTATAAATCTGTATTGGTGAAACAAGATTGATAATTATAAAAAAAACATTTGATGGTATAATGAGAAAGATAACCCCATTTTAGATGTGTATTGATAAAACAAGTATAACAGTAATTACATCATGCATATTAGTAAACAAAGCTTAAAATGGCTAAAAAAGAGAACATAAATACTGAATGCGTTACAGTCTGATTTGAATATAGTTTGACGTTCTGCACATTTTAAAAATAATTTAAATTCAAAACAGTCAATTATCACACAACTTTTGCAAGAATAAGAATATTATACTGTCAAAAGCAATGGCACTATTGTTATTTAAATGACTGTTTGTAGTTAAGCACAATGGACTATCTGTGCTCTGCCCACCACGGATATCAAAATCCAGTTTCTAGCATTCTATTCTGACAATTTTAGAATAAGATACTTTTTTTTTAATTTAGCCATTTTTACTGTATACAAAAACTTTACCATCAAAAGTAAGTTGAAAAGAACAGTGATAGTAAAATGATTTTGAATTGCAGAGGTAAAAATATAATATAACACTATCATAACCAGCAAATACCTTCCTGTTGTTGAGTGCATATCTAAATATCAAATTTCAAGATCTAAGTAAAAACAATAATTCCAACTCTTATTTAAACAATGTTTAACACAAAACTTTTTCAGAATCAATATTTTGTAATGTTGTAACATTTATT